AGTTTCGAAGTCTTGCCTTGTGCATGATAATATAATATGAATACTAACAATTATATGTTATAATAACAATATTATCGGCATTTATAATTAAAATAATGATTTTTATACTAAGTTGCAACTACTAATATAATTTTTATGTATACAATAAAATAGATATAATAAGTTGTGTTTGAATTTAATTAAATAAAGTTTTTGAGTTATATTTTTGTCACTTATATTTTTCTTATGAAAATATTAATATATATTTTTTATTTTTACTTTTTCTTTACGATGAAAAACAAATAGGTAAAATGCAATTCACAAATATAATAAGATATGATAGATCACTTATTTTTATTACTATAAAAACATTTAAAAAAATGGGTACATCAATATTAGTTTTGCGAGAACATAATCTTTGGTTTCAACAATAAAATCATATCATATTTTATTTTTCTTAACGATGAAAAATTGAAATTGACAAATGTAATTAGATATAGTAGATTATTTATTTTTATTACTATAAAAATATTTAAAAAATGTATACATCCATAATAGATTTGCAAGCACATAAAAAATGTAATTTTATAAAACATAAATAATATTTGGTTTTTCAACAATGAAGTCCTATCATATTTAAAATCATTTGTTTTAATTAGTCATTATCACCAATAATTTGGAATAACAATTGTAAACTTTTTTTTATCAAACTCAATTATTAAAAATTATATCAATGTTATTTACAACAAAATAAGTGATAGAAGCTAACATAACATGTAATTAATATGTTGAATACTATTATCTATGATAGAAAAATAGATGGTCTTAACATAAATAGAAAAAACAACATAAATATACATGTATGTTAACAATGTTAATTGTTCTAACTCATAAATAGTTTAAATTTCTCTTTACATGCACAAACTTGAATTTACATTTGGAAAACTTATAATTGCTCTCCTACATCCATTAAACCACTTACATAACTATTCAAACCCTAACAAAATAATCTATCATTTTGTGTTGACATACATGCAATATGAAAACTACAATGTTCTTATATAGACTAAATATTCCATTTAAGGCATCAATTAAATAAAACGATTTGAAGAATTTTGGGTGTTACAAATCACAATATTTCAATTAATCATAAATTAAATTGTATAATTTGAACAGTATTAGGAGTTTCAAATGCATTATGTTAAAAATGTTGTGTGATGCGTTTTCTTAAATGCCTAAAAACCATAACCAGAAACTTGCAGATTTGTTAAATATTATAACAAATTTCAAATAAATCCACAATCCGACAAATAAAAACAATACAAATCAAACTAAAATAACAAAAGTATCAATTATTAACCTTTAAGAAAATGCATCACAAAACAACAGTTGATAAAATGTCAAATTTAGAATGATTCACAAGCTTATGGATCAAAGTAGACCAATCAAGGTGATAAATGGTTTATAAAGCCAAGAAAATTCCACTAGTTGATGAGTTCCAATACCCTGGATTTCACATAACCTCATGCTTTCAAGGATCTGAATGGAGATGCACTTGTAGCCTACATGACTTTTTTTTTTTCTTCTTTCTTAATCTTTTGCAGCCAGTTTAGCTTGGGGGCTTTAGGAAAGGTATAGGACCACATCATTCCATGTGCCTATGAACAAAAAGAAAGAAACAAAAATTGGTTATTCATTTCAGAAACCCAAACGATTTCAAAGTTTAGATATAAAGAGGAAATTGGATGCGAAAAGCTACATGATGTTGAGGTGTGCCAGAGAAATTAAAAAAAAAAAAAAAACAGAATGCTATATGGGTATTGCATTAGATGTATTTAATTACCGATATGCGAAATTTTACCAGATAGATGATAAAGAACGTCGTTTCTTCGAACCGGATAGCTCTAAAGAGGTCAAATGCCTAAAAACCATAACCAGAAACATGCAGATTTGTTAAATATTCAAGTAAACATCAAAAGGACAAAAATCAAATAAATGTCCCTGAAGCAAAATTTTAGCATAATTTAAAAGAAATGGAATTATTTTTACCTCGGACCATGGATTAGGTTTTAATAGCCACAAAAAATCAAGAAGAAAGCCATGTATCTTAGATCTTGTTTGACTTTAACCTGCAAATAGAAGGAGAAATTTGTGTGGCTAGATCTAGGTGTATATGTGTGTGTAAACGCATACCAGAAAGATATAGAATGTGAAAGACAATGACGACAGGTGGTGTCGTAGTGTCTGTGGTGCTTAGTGGTTGATGGTGGCCTCTGGTTCATGTTTAGACATATAATCATGACATGAGCATAATAACTTATACAAAAGCTTACATGCCTTAGGTTCCGATGTGTGTAGGTGACAGGTGGCTCTGGGATGAGGATGGCAGCAGAGTAGGCAATAAGTGCTGGTGAAGAACGCAACCTCTTCATTTCAAAAAGATACTTAATCTTTGACCTTTTGCTTCAGTTTCCCGGGCATACAATGGGAGGGAAACGATGAGTCACTTTTCTGGCTGGAAAACAAGCAAGTGGTGATGACTTGTATATATCCCTATTAAAAAAAGGTTATTTTTGATTGGTTAAATATATTTCACATGGATTGCATATTAGAAATTCAAAATTAGAGGTTAAGATTGATTTATAAAATTTGGATGGTCAAGATGCACTTTCCTTAGTTTTAAGATTTGATCTTAAAAACGGTGTATCCGACCAACATGTATACATTATAAAGCAGTTATATATATATATATATATATATATATATATATATATATATATATATATATATATATATATATATATATATAGAGAGAGAGAGAGAGAGAGAGAGAGAGAGGATAAGATTCAAGAGAACCATTATTAACAAGGAACTAGCAAACTAATCTTGAGCGTCAGAAATCATAATGATTAACTATCAACGTAATGGTTGTATATTTGTACAATTGATGTGCATACACTGTAATATACCAAAAAAACTCATTTCCTTTTTTCGTTTAGTTTTTTTAGACTATGTTTTTTATCGAAAAAAACAAAATATACAATTATTCACGAATTTTGGTCTTTTTTTCCGCAAAGATCCATATTGATATATAAAAAAACAAACTTTTGTTTTTAAAGAAGCACACTTTGTTTCGAGGGTTTTTTTTTTCAATATTTAGGCTTATTTTTATCACAAAAAGATTATATATATAAAAAAATCTAAAATTTTTAACCTATATTAATAAACATCAACATCGATTTAAAATAAAAAAAAAAGTAAAAAAAAAAAAACTTGATTTTTTCAGATTTCGAATATGAATATGAACTGTGAATATTTTAATTTTAACCTTAACAATGTGAACCTAACTTACTATTTCAACTCTTTGATCATTGACAAGTTAATTTAGTGAAATTTACATATGAATTGAAGTATACTTTCATGTAATTGTATAATATTTTAACGTTTTGATTACTCATAAATTGATTTTGTAAAAATCAACATATGAATTTAATCATATTGTAAATATGAACTTTATATAATTCAATTTTTAGATTTTAGAATTTATAATGTGAATCAAATTACTATTATTCACACTGTGAATATGAATAGATCCACATTACAAGAAAATATGAATTTTGATATATTTATGAATTCTATTCGATAAAAATATACTTTAACTGTAAAAAAAATAGAAACTGAAGTAAATTTTTCTGAAAAAAAGGATTCATTTTATATTAATAAAGATTTCTGTAGAAAGAGAACGAAAAATCATAAACAATGATATATTCTTTTTATTTTGTTGATAAAAAACATGGATTAAAAAAAGTCAACTAAAAAAATGAAGTGAATTTTGGTATAATCCGGTACATACACATCTATTATAAATGTCTACAAAATATTATTTTTTCGTTGATTGCTTTTAAATTCGACGTTTTAAATTTGTTGTTTGAGACATAATATTTCTTGAACTTTTATATATATATATATATATATATATATATATATATATATATATATATATATATATATATATTTCATTTTTTTAAAATTTAAAATCCATATTTTATTGCAAGCCTATACATCCAGGTGTTAAGGGGACAAAGTTGACAGCTGCACTGAATTTAATTTTTTGTGGGGCCCGATTTTATAATTATTATAATTTTTGTTGTTGTTGTTATATATATATATATATATATATATATTATATATATATATATATATATATATATATATATATATATATATATATATATATATATATAACTTATAATAACTAGAATGACTATTAAATTTCAAAATAAATATTCTACAACCATTTCTTTCCTTTCTATTACAAATCTCGTAGATTATATATTAAATTATTTACTTTATTATTTATATCATTTCTATTTATGTGAGCTACTAGATGTGACACCCATGTATCACATGAGTTTATTTAAAAAAATTAAATATGAAATTTTATCAATTTGAAATGTTTGAATTTATAAGAAAAATGAGAAAAATTTTAAATTAGTAAAATTAATGAAGCTTTAATGTATTGAATACATTACATATATAAACATTTTCTAATAAATTCGTTACATAAATATATTACCTTACATATTAAATGTGGAATTTTAATTTAATAAAATGAAAAATACAATAAAATGACAAGTGGAAAATAAAAAAATTAAAAATTTTAAAAAATATCATGTGTCTAAATAAAGGAGAAGGTGATATGTAGCAAAAAACATTCATTTATTATAATAGATTACTTTAAAAGAAATACGATTTTATAAAAATTTTCTTTTTAATAAACTAATGTAATATACGGGGTCACACATAATATATATATATATATATATATATATATATATATATATATATATATATATATATATATATATATATGTTCAAAATAACTTTTGATTTTTTTTTTATGGGAATGAGTAATTACATGCTACCCATCCCCTTATAAATTGAGCTAGAAAGTTTCAACATTCCCCTTATACAGTTTTTCCTTTCTTCTAAAGTTTTGAACAAAATATAATACTAACGCAATGCGTGGCCTCTTAGCTTTTGTGATTTTCTTCTCAATTTCAACATTCTCGTTTAGTTATGCAACCGTAACTTCTATAGATACTTTGTGTATATTTGAAGCTAGATGGCATCTGTTTATAATCAACGATATCTCTGAAGACATCACAATTCATGTAAGATCACAAGACCATGGTCTTGGAAAAGAAACCCTTCCTTATCAAGAAACGTACGACTGGGACTTTTGTGAAAACGGAAAAATTGAATTTTCTGGTGAGTTTTGGTGGAATTCAAAATATCAAAGTTTGATGTTATATGATGAACCAGCCTGGCAGATATGCCATAACACAAAGAAGGTTACTCAACATTGTTATTGGTTAGTAAGACCTGAAGGCTTTTATATTGGTAGGGAGAATGTGCCTTTTCCTAGTGAAAATTGGCAGTTAAAAAAACCATGGTGATTAAAGACTTGTAAGTTGTAATATGTGTGATGCAATAAGAAAACATGATATCATCATACAAATATGATAAAGATATATTGCTCCTTGATATTTATGATAAGTTTTTTCTATTTTAATAAATATACATAAAAAAAATTAGTTTACGCTTACGCTGTCACTTAATTCAAATTTAGAAATCAAAGAAAATTACTCGAACAAGCATTTACTAGCTAAGAACAATCATCAAGTATGTTTTGGCTTTGAAGTTATCCGGATGTTTTATTTGTGTTTTTACGACGTCTTAAGAATTCTCACTTTAATTTTCAGATTTAACTTTTTTTTTCTTTCGGTTTTAAACATCAAAATTCCATTAATATCAATGAGATGCCACAAAAAATTTACAAAGAATGTGTACCGCGTACTACACCAAACGGACCCCCGAAATGAAAATTGTCGTATCCTTGCCTCATCGGCAAAAATATACTGTAATCCCAAATTAATTAAAAAAAATCGTAAAACTATTTTTATAATAACTATAACGTTAAAGTGTTAACTAAAAAATTTCTATTAAACAATAAACTCATTGTTTATACCTACACAATTCTTGTAAACAAATTAAAGATTTGCACCAAGTAGTATGATTTTGGTACAACATTTTTATTAATATTTAGAATGATTTTATATTGTTTCAAATTTAATATAATGTTAGAAAAAAGTTCAAAAACTTGATAATTTACATGAGAGCGGAAAACTTTAGTTATACAAAATTTGGATATCTTTAACAAAGAATATGATTAAGAAGTTCTAGTTTTAATATAAACTAATAATAGAATTACAAACTAAATACAAATATAATCATATAATGCATGTAATGTTTCATAAATGATGATTATAACTTTTGAATTATGTTATTGTTATATATTTCAATTGTTTTCTATGGTAAAGCATATCATACTAATAAAAAAAAAAGTCAAAGATTGTACTTATAGCTTACAATCGTGTTCATGGTAATACTTTGTGATGTTATATATAATTAATATCAATAATTTTAAAATAAAATAAACATCATTTATCAAAAAAAAAAAAAAATTATAAGAAATAGTTGCATCAAAAGATGCACCATGCTATCAAATGGTGCAAGAAAGTCTTCAAAGAAAGAATATATATATATATATATATATATATATATATATATATATATATATATATATATATATATATATATATATATATATATATATATATATATGAAATATTTTATAATGTAATACTTTACATTACATGATGTAATTTTCTGAAATTTTATAAAAAAAAACTAAATCGTTTGAAGTATTTATGAGAATTTATTACCAAATTAATAGGATCATTTTATTTCCTTATATAATTCATTACAATTTTATGGAATTTTATTTTAAGAAAATGAAAATTCCTAAAAAATGACAAGTGGAAAATAAAATTTCAAGAATTCTCACAAAATGAAAACTGTCAAAATTAAGGAGAATATGACATATGATAAAAAAACATTCATTTATTAAAGAGCATATATATATATATATATATATATATATATATATATATATATATATATATATATATATATATATATATATATATATATATATATATATATATATATATATAGAGAGAGAGAGAGAGAGAGAGATAGGTTATTTTATTTTTCGTAATTATTATGTGTTAGAATGTACAGATCTGAACCATTGGATGAAATATAATCAAAGGTCATTGATCTGAAGGTCTATGATAGTATTTAGGATAACATGTACCATATAATCACACAAGTTTCAACATAAGGGTATTTTAGTCAATTAAACTATATTAAAAAAATGAAATTTTCAGATTTTTAGGGATAATTAATTCCTTTATTTTTAAAAATCTGAATATTTTGAATTAATTCAAAATTAAAAATCCGATTTTATTCTGTCAGAATGATACAATGTTAATCATAAACTAGTAAATATATTTTTGAATTTTATTCTGTTAGAATGACAAAATGTCAACCATAATGTAGTAAATACATTCTGAAAAGACTACACAAAATCAATTCTCGAATTAATAATATACCAAATAATTACATTGTATGATTGTGATTTATTGAATAATAACAACATTCTGAGAAAAAAAAACATCAAAATCTTACAAAAACACTAATCTATTATGAGAGAATATTATTTTTAGGCAACACTTTATACATTGTATCATAACACAATCTGGTATAATATATTCTTGTTCTCTATGTTTTCTTCCATCTCCACATTAATGGTAGCCTCTTCAAAACCTAAATTTACAAAGAAAACATAATCAAGTTTAAAAAATTAAAAAATTGAATGCATTTTAAGAGAATAAAAACTATAAATTATGACAAAATGTATTAAAGAGGGAAAGGGATCGATATTTGCTTTGTTATCTGTTTGGTAAATGCTTCGATGTATGCTGGCTAATATGTTTGGTATTGGAAAAGATGAAGCATCAGGTCACAAGGCAACCCTTCCTTATCTTCTTTCCCACTAAATTCTCTCTTAAAATCCACCGAAAACCATCTTAACCTAACTGAAATCACATGTGATTTCGGTCGGTCTAGTACCAACCGAGATCACCGTGTGATTTCGGTTATGTACTTAACCGAAATCACATAATGATTTCGGTCTAGGTACTAACCGAAATTACAAGGTTTTGGTGTCCTAGGCTGAAAACTCTAATGCAACGGTTAAATCATGATTTACGTTCTAACTCGTCAACTCTACTTGACTTTTGTTGGCTCGTTTAACTTTTGTTGTGTTCAAAATTGGCAATTGTCACATCATCCCCCCGTTAGAGGGAATTTCATCCTGAAATTACTTTTGGAGTGGGTACTCATCGGCTAGTGAAGATATGTGGTTACTTATGTTTCATTTGATCTTCTCGTTACCAGGTTAATTTAGGTTCTCCCTTGGTGTTCCATTGGACCTTCACTATGGGTATGCGGTCCTTTTGACCTCCCGATCCATGATTTCCACAAGTTCCTCTACAAATTGTAGACTCTCGTTTGCCTCGATTTCATCAAGTGGGACTACAAGAGTCTCCTTGGACAGAAACTTCTTCAGGTTGGATACGTGGAAGGTGGGGTGTACGTTACTGAGTTCATGTGGTAGTCAAAGTTTGTAAGCCATCGGGCCAATTCTAACAAAGATCTCAAACGGCCCGATATACCTTGGATTCATCTTCCCACGCTTTCCAAATCGTATTGTTCCCTTCCATGGTGAGACCTACAACAGTACACTGTCACCAACCTGGAACTCCAAGGGTTTTTACCAATTATCTGCATAACTCTTCTGCCGATCCTGAGATGCTTTATGAAGTTGCAATTAGACCGAGAACGATTAACACAATCAGAGTAAAGTATGAATGATGAACACAAGATGTAAATAATATCTGTTTGGCTCAATTAGCTTTCAAGAAGTACAGAGTGTTTAGACAAGTTTACATCAAAGAGCAAAAGTTCAATATCTTGTCTACTCTAGTACACTTCCCTATTTTTATGAAATATGAAAGCGAACAAAAAAAATACAAGGGACTAGACATTTTAAGTTCGAAATATAAATGCCCTTGTAATAATGTTAGAAGCTAACAAAACTTAATAATGACATTTGATACCTCACAACTAAATTTGACTTCTACATTCTCCCCCTTTGTGAGCAGTGACGAATCAGGTCATCAAAACCTTCGCAGTTTGATGAATTATTCTTTGGATCTCTGCATTCCGGTTCACAATCTACTGAATATCTGCCTTCTCTTTATCATTATTCTTGTCACAGTTGTTCATCTAAACTAAAAGATTTGTATAATGAGAAGATGTATATCATTCAACATCAAACACTTGAAACATGAATTTGGAATTATTGCCCTTCTTGGTTTTGCCAACAAAAACAATTGCTAATGGTTTCAATGTGATTTCCCCATCTTCAAGTTTATTTAAACTAGCCTTAGACATAAGCATAGTTTGAGAAACTTCGACTTCTTTGCCCAATGACTTAGCCAATTCAACATCTGTTAAAGTTAATGCTCCATAATACCCATCAATGAAAACCTTCAAGTGACCAAACCCATTCAAAGAAATCTTCTTTACTTGTCACTTGAAATTTTCCAAAACATCCACATTCTTCATTATCATTGCCACAACCAACAGATCATGGAGATTCATCAAGGGAAAATCTGCAACCGAGAAATTGAAAGACTGATTGTATGCTCGGAAAACATGAAATCGATAGTTCTGCATCATGGCCTCGAACAAAATATCTTTGGTTATGCCAAGAACCTGAACTGTCTTGGCTAATGAAAATATTTCCTCCTCTTTCTTCCCAAGTGTAGCATGGAAAAAAAATTCATGTGTCTATACTCAACCTTATCCTTGTACTTGTCATCAAGTTCAAACTATTCATCCAAGAACATCATTCTATTCACTGGAAAGTCCAACTGACTCATATTGGAATTTACTGTGTCAAACTTTTTCTAGGCACCTTTTCAAAATCATGAATTTCCCCTGCTAGAGTTAGTGCCTCAGTATACTCATAATGATAAAGCTTTGTAGGATCACCTTTATCGAGACCAGGAGGATCAATTGCATGTTGTCGTAGAATACTCTGGATGTGTCTTTGTTTTTCCATTTTTGCTTCAATAGCAGCTTTCTTCTCTTCTTTCAACAATTCACTAGTTATGCCTTTACCTTTTCCTTTATCTTCTTCATTTGACTTGGGTTTCGACGATCCTGACTCTCCACCAGTAGTTCCTGTTAGATAAATGTCTAAGTCCATAACTATAATTGGTGAGACTTGACCCGACCCAGCATGGTCCATTTGGGTTGCATGGCATCATGCATTTGGATAGACTATAATGAGAGAAATAACACTTAAGGTTTGTTAATATATTATAAGTTCTAATATATTAATAAGTTTATTTAATTAGTATTTATCAAGAATTAATTTGGAATTAATTAAGTGATCAAAAGGTGAATAATTTAATATATGGGTTGATTGTGTAAATGATTCATTCTTATATATGTAGGTTTGTGATCCAAGATTCCTTATCTTGGACTAAGTCCAGGGGGTGACCCATGGATACTCCATGGAGGTTAAAATCCATGGAGCATAAGGAATGGGTAAATTTATGAGTTACATGGTGTAACCCTATTAGCCACCATATAAAAGAATCCCATGGCTCAAGAAATCGGCCACTGTGTGTAAGAATGAAGGGCTAGCCGAGTTCATGAAGTGTGTATGTTCTCTCAATCTATTCCAAGTGTATTTGGTGTTGTGTGAACCATTTGAGGTGTCACACTTGGGGCACTAGGCACTCAAGCTTCATGAAGACAATTTTCATCAAAGAGGTATGTAATTCTAACTTGATATATTCATCTGAATCAATGTTATTATGCTAGTTAGGATCAATACCTTGGAAAGTTCATATTTGCATGTATAATAGAGAAAACATAGATTCAAGGAATTTAGGGTTGCATGTACACTTAGAAGTGTTAGAATGCTCAAAACCCAATAGTGGTATCAAATCCTAGGCTTGTTTTCTTGTTACACTTGCAAAATTCGCTGAAAAATCGAAGTTTGGAGCTGTTTGCACAGAAGACTCGCCGAGTTGGTTCATGCACTTGACGAGTTGGACCCCCTGACAGCATATATTCGATTCTTTTGGCTGGAATTGGACTAGGAACATTACCCTAAGATGTTTTTGGACTTATAAACTTGTTTTTGATATGGTAATTTTCATGTTAATCCAATTTCAAAGATATTTGTCGATAGATTAATGATTTGTATTAGTTTAATGGTTAGGCTAATTTCATGAAAAAGTGTTTGACTTGAAATATTATGTTCATATGAGTTGCTTAGATTAATAGAAAAGGTTGATTGATTAAGTGTCTTTGATCCATTTTAATCTAAGAGTTGAGTCTAAAATGTGTTTGTGTAACTTGTCCTCAAGTTACATGAAGAGTCACATTAAAGTCTCTTAAAACTCATAAAAAAATTGGCAAAGGTTACAAAATAAATGAAGAGTATTGTTTTCATTGATTGTTTTTATGACTCCATAACTTGTCCTCAAGTTATGGAGGTTCAAGAGTCACTTCATTAAATAATAAAATGTGTAACCTTAATTAATTTCGTAAGTTACAAAATAAAGGAAAAGATACAATCTTTTATTAGTTTATAGTCTTCCATAACTTGTCCTCAAGTTATGGAACTTGAAGAGTCTTTTAATTAAAACTACTTTAAACTCATAAGTTATGGAATTAATTAGTTTTGAATAGTTTCAAAACTTGTCCTCAAGTTTTGGAATTTGAAAAGTTTTCACTTATGAATACTTTAATTCCAAGTTAGCCCTTAGAATTTTAAAAGTTAAAATTCAACCCTTATACTTTATAATATTATAAGTTAATAATATTTAAATTTATGTATAAGAGTAAAGTCAATTTTACCGTTAGTAGGCCTCATTCACGAAGCCGATCTATAAGGGGGTATAAGGTTACTGCCTATAAAATGGCAGTTTAATAAGTGTTCACTCTCACCTACCGCTTTCTTGACTGGCGGAGGGTCGTTAGCCGAACGGGTAGGACAAGGACTATAATTCTCCCTTCATTAAAAGTATTAATGATAAATACTAAGTAACTAAACCTTTTATAAATACACAATCTTAGTTACTTAGTAAAAAGTGAATAAGGTGTTAATCCATGAAATTACACTTTGCACTTTGTTTAAGTCGTTAGTGGAGCGTGTGTGGTTAACCGGAACACTAACCTTGACTTAACAAGGTACGCAAAGGGTAACTTAATATTTATCATAGTATCGGTGGAGCGTGTGTGGTTAATCGGCACATCGATTAAGGGGTAAATATTAAGGGTACCCAATATATTTGCATGGTTGCTTCACACCTGGTTTTGTGATCCTCAGCATCCCAGTCACAAAACCTGAAGGGCACACTCGAGATTGAAACATGCCATTGAAAAGTTCAATGAATCTCAAAAGATCTAGGAGTTCCAAATCCAATTAAAAACTAATAATACATTTCGTTTATCTTGGTGGAAATTGGTGAATCGTTATTCACCTACCTTCAAATATTTTATATCTTGGATTATGGCATCCCTCTTCCAAGTTATAAAAATATTGTGTTGGATAGCCTTAATATTTCGTATTGGGTGTTATATTAAGGACTTTAAATCAACTATCTTGAATATCTCCCAAAAAGATGTCTGGTTTAGACATTTATGATCTTCCCAAATCTCTTGAAACAAGCTTTACTAAATGAAGATTATGTCCCATGGAAATCATACTTCTTTCACGTCCTTCAATTATTCTCCCTAACCCACAAGTTCTCGAAACATTTAAGGTCACTCAAGCCCTATAGGAAAGTAAAGGTCTATGTGTGGTCACATCTTGGAGATGTAGTCACACATTGACAAGTCGGGAGAGTTGGGTGTCAAAGTCTTGAGAAAGTGGGTGGTTCAACTACTTTCTAAGTCACATAGTGGGTTCCTTTGGGACTCCTATGAAACATACTATGACAAGACCCTTAATGATCTTATCTATTTGCTAAGATCAACTTCCTAAAACTTTTTGACATTGACAATAATGACATTGGATATCCAGTAAAGCTCTCCCTTCCCAATAGAAAGGGATCGGCCATAGTCAACTCAGTTGACCAAATGGTAAAGAGAAAGGCTAAGTCTGTGATAGTCCCATTTTCCATTACCAAAGAGTCTATATTTTAAATTACTAAAGGAAGGGGCATTGGTTGCAAAGCTGCCAATTTACCTAAGGGTGTTAAAGTCAATAAGTTTGACTCTACTTCAAGTAAAGTCCACTATCTAACTCTGCTAAGTTTCTATTCTGAGATTCTTGATACATGATGTGACTGGGTCACATGGTGATGTTTTAAGAATCAAAGAAAAGTGAAGAAACTTAAAGAAAGAATATGTTGAATCTGATCGCGTAGATGGATTTCTATCGCATAGTTTAAAGATCGGATTCTTGGGCTACTTCTAAGGAGTTATGATATATTGCTTAGGAATAGATAACAACAAAGTTTTCACGCTATTTTGCATTGTAAGGATAGTTTTTCTGCAAAGTTTGTAAAATAAAAGGAAATTATGATTTTATTTATTTTAAGATATCCTTACAATAGCATTTGAGGAAAAAAATTGTTGCCTATATGGTTCCATTAATAGCAAGAGTAGAAATATGAAATTGATTCTTTCATTTGTGGCAATGTCACTACTAGAAAAACAGCCTTTTATGATGCTCATTGCGCGTCGTAAAACGCTCGGACAACGTGCAAATGCGCGTCAAGGAAGGCCCTGTCATAAAGAGAGACGACGCGCTTTTGCGTGTCGTCTACAGACGACGTGGATTTACGACACACATTTATGACGTGCATTTACGACGCGCGGTTATGACACGCAATGCGTATCAAGGAAAGCCTTGTCATAAAGGAAGATGAAACACATTTGCGTGACGTAACCTTACGACGCACGTGTTTATGAAACGCAATGCGTATCGAGGAATCCCTATCAAGAAAAGCCATGTCATAAATGAAGACGACACACATTTTTGCGTATCGTAATTTTAATTTTTTTTTTAAAATTTATTTATCGATTTACTGATTTTCTAATTAAATTTGCATTTCATGTCTCATAATAGAAAATAAAATACCATATACAAAAAATACAATACATTGCACAAAAGTTAATGTCATACAAATAATCATTCCAATAGTAGACAAATGTAATACATCAAATAATCATTCCAATAGTAGAAAAAATGTAACATTTCAACATTTTTATATAATTAACTAAATTATTAGCCAAATTTCCTAAAATACCAACATACTTTTCTATGAAGAGCATTAACACTATTCTTTTCCATCAAAAAATATCAAAACCTGCATAATTAAATTAATGTGTAATTAGCTACAGAAATTTGTGTGAGCATATGTATAATTCTCTATAAACACCACATAGAGGTATATAAGTGAAGTTAGAAGTCAGAACTGTAAGTAAGGCTAAAGATGCAGCAACTCACATTGAAAAAGTTGACTGATAACACTCTGGAACCGTTCTTGCATCATTAGTAGAGGAGCAAGGGAAAAATGGGAATTGAGGACAAAATGATGTCGTTCATGTTTTAGGGAAAATACCACCAGTTGGACTGATGAGGTGACAGAAGGTCCATAAATATGAATTTTTAAAACAAAAAATGATTAGTTTTTAACATTTTTTTTATAGATATCCACATGTGTCGATTTTGTCTCCAATCACCATGTAATAATTGCTACTTATATGGTGCATTAAGATACACAAATTGATTTCTTTTGTATAGGACTTTAGAAATGTTATAGAAAAGTTATATTTAACTACAAATCATTCTAAAAGTTCGTATCATAAGAATGATCAGAAACAAATGTGAGTTTCATATTGTGAGATATTTTTATCCAATTTTGTTATGTTTTCTAGTTAATAATTTAGTGTGTCAAATCTTTCAGGTATTTATACGTATATGCATTAAGAAGATCGAAATAAACATAAAAAAAATCTTAATGTTATAATGTATTACCCACCATATACTACACCATGTACCATTGATTGAAATTCATTTGTAAGAAACTACCCTGAAAAGGGATCTCCCTATGAAGCAGCATTATGCAGATACAAACATTTAATAACATAAATAGAATAGAGATTCTTCATTTTTTATTGTTTTAGCCACTTAGGTATTTTCTGTAGTGATCGAACAATTATATGTTTTATGATGGTTAAAAAAACATTATTTTATTTGGTTTACCTGATTTTGGAAAAGGTTATATATAGGAAAAAACAATGTATACTCAATTTTTTTTTGAATTTAGCCACCAAACTATCATGTAGCTATTGATTTTTATAAAGTATACTTTTTTTTTTTATCAATTTCGTTTTACTAAATTTATAAAATATATATTGTTTTACCTTATTTACAAGCATGTTTACTTGTTCTCTGTACATCTCCTTCAGGTCTACAATATCAGCACAAAGCTCTCCCAGCAACATACATGCAAAATTACCATGAAACCAACCAGTTATTCCGTTTGTTAGTAAGATAAAACAAACTAGTAATAATAAAATAAGTAAACAAACAAAATAAGATATAACTACCAAGATGGTACTAGTTATATGAAAATACCAAAACTACCCTTAATCAATCAAGGGTGAAAAGGTAATTTTACCTCCTCATCTCTTTCACCCATCAACTGCAGTACATCAGAGTGCCTTCGTCTTAATGCTTCTAGTTCTGCTTTTAAGCCAGACAACATACACTTTTGACCATAATTTTTCACACTGCACCAAAAAAAGCATATGAGATCAAAGGGTAATATAGACATTTATCATCCAAAATGTATAACATAATGAAAAAAAGGAAACTCAACCTCCTCTATCAATTTAACCAACGCCTCAGCAAGAGATTCGTGAATGGATTAAATGGATGCCTGAATGCTACAAATTAATACAAAAACCTTGATTTCATTGTTGTCCCTATTTTTGACCAATCTTACCTGTATAATGATGGAGATATAAATTAACATATTTTTCATCAGTTGATATAGCACATGCCTAACAAAGATTCACCAAATAGCACCCAAAATGTATTAGCACTTTCTGTTAAAAGAATGTTAAAAGTTTTAGTAATCAGTTAATCATCACATCACCTTCTTCTTTACCCTTATATATTGATGAAGCCATCCAGACACATCTATCAGTAAGTTTTTCCTATAGATCTTATATATTTCTAATGTTTTGACTTACATTAACTTTAATTCCTAAGAAGACAACATCATATATCATAATATCAGTGAATATTAGTATTCCCTCAAAGAGAAAAAGTAACACTTAGCTTCTTCAAGATTTACATCGTACTAGAATGGCATCATTTCACTAAGTGGCTTTGTTGGAGGCATATTCATGAAAAGAGAATTTGTAAAAAAACTCTAATGAAACTCATTACCCAATTGTCTTGACTAGGATCAAAATCAGCAGTATGAAGAACGAAAAATTATTTTGATCAACCGCAAACCAAACAAGAAGATTCGGTGCAAAGATTTTATTTAATAAGATGAAAAAATTTATTAAATCAAAAGAATATCATATTGAAGGGTATCCCGAACATGCTCGTTATAAATCTCAATTATTTAAACAGGGACATCATATTGAAGGGTATCCTTCCTTTGTTCAACAATAAAAAATAGAGACATTATAAATATTTTGCATGAGGTACAGTCTTGTATAATTTATAGAAATGAGAAAGCAAGTTCAAATAAAAATCTGACCTGATAAGCTAGTTCTCTGCAACAAATCTCACCTAAGACACAAAGAGTAAGACATGGGTGAAAATTAACATTTTCAAATTGTTGCAGGGTTACAAATGAAAATCTGACATGATAAGCTAGTTCTCTGGTGTGGCAAAGGACAAGTGCAGCAACTTCACCTGCTATAGGATCGATTTATTGTAGTGTAGAGAGAACAAAAACATCAGTTTTCCCCATTCCAGACTTGGCTTGACAGATGACATCCATTCCTAAGATAGCATGTGGTATGCACATGAATGTCCACCTTGACACAAAAACATGTAATCAATATGGTTATAAATTTTTTATATAATCTATATAGATACAAGCTTAAAGAGAAACAAAGAGACAATAAGTACCTCATCAGCACCGTCTGTTATTTTTGATCCAACAAGTGATAACATCTGCAAGCCTCTAAAATGAAACCTAAATCATAACGATCATCTGTAAAAAAGTTAGAAATATATATAGTAGGTATATAATTGAAACCCTCCCCGACTAGAAAAATTACCTCTCCATGCCCTAAAATGATTGAAAACGATAGTGAAGCGAGTAATCTATGACTACATTCATAAGTATCACAGAAGATTGAGGTATCCATAAAATATGAAACGAAAAGCTCATTTTTTACAGAAAACTCGCCAATCAGATTACAAATCTAACAAACATGGGAAGGAGAAGTGTGGTGAACCAGAGAGAAGATGAAGGGTGGTGGGTGCCTCGGTGGTTGTCGAGTAGTATGGGGTAGAGAGAGAGAGAGAGAGAGAGAGACTAGTATATTAAGACCATGGAGGATGAGGCATTTTATCAAACACGTTGCGTGCATCATCAATTCTTCCCCATTTACTGTATAAGTCAACAAGTGCAGTGTTGGCAACTATGTCTAGATTAAGACCATGGCGGATGAGGCCTGCATGAGCTTGTTTGGCGTGTTCTAATGAAGCTAATCGTGTACACACTCTTACGATCATTGAGAAAGTGAAGTGGTCTATTTTAATAGCAGCATCTTGCATCTCGTAGTTGAGATCTAAAGCTTCTTCATTGTATCCATGAAGGGCGTACCCTGCAATGATTGTATTCCAACCCACTGTTGTTTTCTCAGGCATTTCATCGAACACACGTTGGGAATCCTTGATGCTTCCACACTTGTTGTACATGTCGATTAGTGCACATGATACGAAGATATCATGACTTACACCCATTTTTATAGCACAAGCGTGTAATTCTTGTCCTGGAAAAATCTGTCACACCCTGAAACCGATGGCGGAAACGTTCCGCGGCGGAGGACGTCATGTAAAGTATCACAACCAATGTACATAGTAATCATAGTAAACACAAAACATTACATTACATAGGAATAATTACATTTGTTTAAAAGTAAAAAGAAAGTAATACATGTTTTATAGATACATTAGTTTGCACAAAAGTAAAGACCTGACTTCCATATGCTCCGTCTTATGCAAATAAACGTGGGATACCTATCTAAGGAGAACTTGAGAATACAAGCAGTTTTGAAATTATCAGCATAAAGTTGGTGAGTTCATAAGCGGTTTGTTTCTGTAAAAGAATAAGCTTTCTTTGGTTTTCTGAAAAAGTTGTTATCCAAGAATATCCCATATTTTCTAATAAGTAAAGTTTAGTTATCCATTTGTTACATAGTTTGGTTAAGAACATTTTGTTATCTGGTTATTACACGATCTAGTTAAAAACAAGTTCTGTTATCCTAGGAAAACCCCTTATTTTCCTTAAAAGTTTGTGGTTGGTTATCGAATCTGAATGAAATGTACATGAATCTACCATACTTGTAGTGTTTGTGTGAAGTTTCCTGAAAGCCTGGTTATCCTTGAAAGGTATGTTAGTTTTAACACGTATATAAAACTATCAAAATAGTAAACTAATTTATAACGTTATTAATTTACTAAGTTCTTTATTACTTAAAGGTAAATCTCCGTTATTTAAGTTTGCGAGTTCTATAACCATACGATAAACTAGATATGGCAATGGAAGGCCAGTATCATTTATGACTTTTGTCACCCGTAGACCTGCCGGTCCCACTGTAGCTAGCAGCAAGGTGCGGGGTAGTCAGCCCCGTATAGATCTATACAAGTAATAATGCGGAAAATCCTGTTTTAAGTTCTAATTATAAAGGTGGTCCTCCACTCGCGTATCTCTGTGGAGTGTTACAGAGGACATCTAAAGTTCTAAGATTAATGATTTTTAACAGTAATGAAGTGGAAAATCATTCGTGAAATGTATAATATAACACTATATAATAATATTTACAATCAGTTTGAAAACTAGCTCTGCAAGTCAAACAGTTGGTTAATACGGTTTCAATTGTTAAAAGCATACAAAATATGAAACATTTCAAATGAAATAATAAGTTTGAGTACAAGGTATTCTTGTACTTTTGCTTGTATTCCCCCCCCCCCCCCCCCCCCCCCGAAAACATTGAAAAACATGGATAAATGTGTAGGGGTATGAACTCACTGGTCGAGAAATGTGTCGGCTAGGATGCTAAATGTCAATTCAGGGCTTGAACACGTGCGAGGTTCCAATGTAAATTGAGGAGATACATAATTGTATCTAATTAGACTTTTAACTACTAATTAATTGAGATAATACACTGTAACACCCGCAGATCCGGGCTAGTCAATTTAGAGGCAATAGGGGTCGAGAATGACCTTTCGACAAAAGATTATTTAGAATAAATAATCTTAACCAAGTTGTAGAATATGTCACAATGTTTCTGTACATATAAAGAACGCCGAAATCCGAGTTATAACGAAGAAGTTATGGCCCGTCGAAGTTTCGCGACGGAACCGGCACGACACCGGGAAGCGTAAATAGTGAATTTACGATGGAGGACTTTTTAGCCTTAGTGATCTAAATGAAAGTCGTAGAATATGTTAAACCGAGAAAATTCATAAAAAGAACGCCCAAATCTGACTTCGTATGAAGAAGTTATGATTTTTCTAAGATTCGGCTTAGTAGTGTACAACCCGAAACTCGAATTTTAGTTTGAGCGGTTTTTGGCTTACGTGACCTAAATGAGAGTTGAAGATCTCATTAATAGAAACTCAACGGTAAAAAGACAGACGAAAACGGAGTTCGTATGAAGGAGTTATGAATTCTTCGCGGTCATTTAACAATCTAAACGCCTCCTACTGTTAAATTTGAGATCGGTCGAGAATTAGCCGACGGAGTCTAAACGAAGTTGTAGATCTTGATTTTACCTACGCGTGGATATAAAGAACGTCAAAAACGGAGCTCGTATGCGAAATTTATGATTTTTCTAAGTTTGAAGGCTGATACACGATAGGGGGTGACGTGGCACCACCAGAATTGGACACGTGGCACCACCAGAAGGCCACCACATGGACCAACTCGGCGAGTAGGTCCCCCCTACTCGGCGAGTCCATCATATTTTTGCACTATAAATAAAGGTGTCGGGTCTAGCCTCTTCTTCACACCTCCCAAACCTTCTTTCTCTCTCTAAACTCTCTCTCTAAGCCTCCCTAACCCCCTAAAGCCTAGGGTAACTCCCTAGCACGAGGCGGAAGCCCCAGAGCACCCAGCGGCTCCGAGAAATGAGCCTTTCGGCTCGGGAAACGCTGCTCCAGCGAAGCCCGATTTTGCGAAAAACCCGCTGTAAGTGAGCTACGCCTACGCTAGTTTTAATATAGCTTGTAATTAATTATAGTAACATTATTAGGACTTGAAAATAATTATTTGGGCTATTATTATGAGTTATATTGAGTGTTATTTAACGCTTATATAATAATAATAATAGTCAAACTATTAATTTGTCGCGGATATCGGTAGACTAAACCCTAGTGGTGTTGATACTAGGTTTTATCGAAGGAAAGTTGTTTTGAGAGTATCGAAGCGCTGTCCGAGTGTTGAGTCACCACCTTTCAAGTGAGTGCATAGTTCCCTTTCATCTTACACATAGATATGAAGTATTTTATTATAAATTACGTGCTATGTGCGCATATTGTCTGAATACTTGTTGTCTATGCTGGTGAAAACTTTTTTTTTAATGCTATAAACTGTATAAAGTATTTTATATCTACAAAATATGTTGGGTAAAGCATGGGTAGATGAATGATGAGGGGATAAAAGCTGAAATAGAGGAACATTAGTAGCATGGACCTAGTGCCCTATAGGTATACATTGGTAGCAGTGGACCTAGTACCCTATAGATGAGCACTGGCAGTTGCGCCACAACCAGTAGATGTTTCAGATCTACGGTAAACGTCCTAGCAGCTGCGCTCTAAGGACAGTATAGGCAGCTGCGCCTAATAGGGAGCCTTATGACCATGACAGTAGCGTTTAAAGGTCAATACCAGCAGAAGCGCCTCATAGAAAATGTCCCAATTCAGACAGCTGCGCCTAAGTGACAAGATTAGCAGCTGCGCTTGACTAATGTGTCATTGGCAACTATGGACTTCATGTTGTTTCCTTAGAATGAATCTTATGAATGAATGAATGAGAAATAGCTGATTCTTAGGGTAGACCATTAAGAATAAAGAAGATAATGGGGATGGGTAATTGGGTTGATTGTTTGATTATTTAAACATAATGATTATATTATTGTGGGTTGAGAACCCTATGTACTCACCAGGTTTCCCAACCTAACCCACTCAGTTTATTTATATCACAGGTGTTGATACGAAGTCACTTTACACTGAGAGATTTAAAGAGATGTAGATCACTAGTGTAAATAAATGTAAGTTCTGTTTATGCTTATGTTTCTGTATTAACGATGACATCCCAAACGTTTTGAAATGAATAAAATACGTTTCTTCGAAAATGTTTTAATAACATATTTATCATGTTTTTCTGGGAACAAATTCCGCAACATTTTTATGAAAAGAAGTACTCTGATTTTTATAAGGCATAAGCAAAATTGGTCTTTTCTGGCCGTGAAAATGGGGATGTCACAGTTGGTATCAGAGCATTAGTTTAAGCGAACTAGGAATATGGATTTATTTCTAGACTTAAACTTAGAATGCTAAGCGATGATTGTGAGGTGTGAGCACTAGATTATTTAAGGAATTTTGCCTCAAATGCTTTTATGTGCTAAATAGTTGTGCCTGATATGGTGTTAGTTGTTCGGATCTATGGTCTGTTGCTGACCTGATCTGGAAACCTTATGTGTTTAGGATTCTAAACGTACGACTACGATATTAGAACTAGCATATAAACGTTTCGGAGTGATAAGGATGATTTAACCATCAATCCTAAGTAAAGATCTAGATTCACCTTATTCGGTGTATAGATCAAGATGGCAACAACCCGTAGCGGAAACATGAATGCAAATGGGAACATAAACCAACCCCCCCAGTGATTGAGCAAATACCGGTGATGGAAGCCGCCGCTGAGCCAGTCACAATGGCCGGAGTGCAAGCGATGATCCAAGCGATGTTGGATCGTCAAATGGAGGAAACTAGATGCTTGCTCCAGCAAAATCGAGAGGAAGCCACTATTCAGATTTGAACAGCCCGAGTTGAACGAAGGGCAGACTGAGGAAGGAGACTACAGTGGAACTCTTGGTCAAGTCAACCCACCAATAGTTCGACAAAACAACCACGACGACGAAGTCGAGAGGAATGGATGCAAGTACAAGGATTTTCTGACTTGCAAGCCATCGACTTTCACTGGAAAGGAGGATCCGATCGGGGTCATGGATTGGATCTCGGAGATGGAATTAGCTTTCATGACGTGCGGTTGCAAGGGAAAACAGCAGACCACATTTGCAGTGCGTCAGTTTCGAGGAGGCGTTGTACGTTGGTGGAATACCTTGGGGAAGACTCTGAGCCCCAATGAGCCCCTGCAACTGACATGGGCAGAATTTCTGGTGCAATTCAAACGTAGGTACTGCTCAGCCCAAAATCTGGTCGAGCTAGAAAACCAATTCCTTACCTTGAAGAAAGGAAGCATGTCTGTTGATGAATACACCAACAACTTCAAAGAGAAGATGGAGTTTACATTACGTCTTGTTCCAGATGAGCTGACGAAAGTTAACAAGTATGCAAAAGGACTTCCATGGGAGTACGCGGTGCCAGTGCGTCAGGCACCTACTTTGGAGGCAACTATCTGGGCTGCCAAGTCGGTTGAGGAGATGATCAAGGGAAGAGCCGCCAACAAGACCGAGGTTGGCGAAAAGAGAAAGTTTGAGGGGTCTGCGAAGCCCGAT